ATTTACATGAGTAGTTAACAATCCCTCGATTGTTGCTAATTTTTATTGGAGAATGACAGCATCAGCAAGCAATTGCTGAATTTATGTTTTTTTTTGTTTACCATGTATTTAAAATAGTCAAATCACAATGAATAATATTTTTCAATATCTTTGTAAATACTGTCCAGGCTTTTTTCCAGGGCATCATAGCTTGTGTCAGCTTGCTGCATGGCTACAATTTCGTTAACTATTTTTTGCCTCGCATCGGTTTTATCATGCTCCGTGGGAGGTTTAAGTATGAATCGTTCTAAATCGGGTGTCATGGCGATGCCCTGCTCTCTTAGGTAATTCAAAATTCGCTCCTCTGGTGTTAAGCCATCGTCTTCTTCGATTCGTTCTTGGTTGTTAAGATCTGCTTTAGAAGCGGTGTTTTCAAATTCTTCATCGTCTACTGGATCAGCAGTGACTTCCGAGACATTACCATGAAATTGTTGTCCCATCTCAAGCTCAGCATCAGGTGCTTCTGAATCAAAATAAAGGCTTCGCGAAAAAAGATTTGTCCTGTTGTTTTATAAAACCCAGTACAGTAAAAGTTACCTTCATTGTGCAAAAAGTGCTCCAGCTCTCCTTCATCATTGCTAATTTTATCCCTGTCAAGGAAAAAGTTACTATTGTTAGCTGCTTAGCGAATGTAAATTATTCGCGGTCCTAGCAATTTTCATTCAACCCATTGATTTTTTGAATTTTGATATCAAACGGCGATGGACAACCTTATGAGAACATTCGCCTCTACTCTGAGGAAATTTTAAGGAATTGAAATTAATTCTCACTTTTCATTCGGTTTGGAGCCATCAGAATCATTTTCAGGTTCTGAGTATCTGCGACTCCTTTTCTTTTTAGCCTGAAACTTGAACTTGAAATTTAAGGAATTACTAATTGAAATAAAGGGGTTGCAGGAGGCAAAACTGTACCTTTTTTAATAGTGGATTTCTCTCTTTGCTTTTCTTCTTCCAAAAAGGCCGTGATTTACGCTTTGCGTTCAGACTGTAAATTTTTAAAGCGCCGAAGGCCAAACAAGGAGTTAAGGTGCAGATGCATACTATGGCGACAAGTATCGGAACAAATACGTGAATCCAGCTAGAATTCATTTTCTGAAACAAATACTTTTTATTGCGTAAAAAGCTGAAATTTTATAAAAAAAATTTGAAAATTGCACTTGAGAACGAGGATTGAGTTTAGCTCCCCACTAGGATTTCGACACCCTCACCACTTTAAGACTGACGTCTTAACGAAATCAGTGTAAAGCCAATTTTGAGTGGTGCGCAATTAAAACCTTACTAAAATGCCGAAAAGCCGCATTTTTGGCATGTTTTCTCGAAAATTTGAAAGCTTTTTGTTTTCGAGAAAAGAGTAGATCCATCGGTTCACAGAACCATTTTATTATTCTCACTTCAAATGGGCTTTGGTTTTGATTTAGCTCCAAAAGATTCAAGAGACATTATTGAAATCATTTAAGGCTTTCAAGGTAAATTGTGTTTTATGTATATGTAAGGGAGGTTTCATTTCTTAGAGTACGCACCTCAATTTGGGCGTTGACGTCAACTAAACAGTCTGGTATCTCGTTTTCGGGGTCATCATCGAATCCCACTCTGCAGTCGCAGGTATAATAGTCCCCCATAGTGCGAGATGTAGTCCTCACACACTTTCCTCCTGGTCTGCAGAGGTTTTCAGTTAAGCACTTGTTCTCGTCGTCACAGTAAATGCCCGAGAAGCCTTCTTTGCACTCACACCTATGAACACAAATTCAGCTGGTCGAAAAATTTTATGAGTGAAATTTAAGCCGATAGATTGTGTCTGATATTTCGAACTTTATTGGCACTTGAAAAGGCCGTTATGATGGAAATACATTTTTATTTATTCAAGGAACTAATGGCAATAGTTAACTTTTGAATTTTTTTTAGCGTTGTCTGGTCGCAGGCGAAAGTTAGAATAACCTCTGGGGCTTCTCTATAATTCTCCAACATAATTTTCTATTTGCAAAACTCTTTAAGATTAAGACCATTTATCCACGGGGGAAAGGACCAACACAAGAGCTGTACAGCTCATCACGGCGCACCGCTTTTGTGCTCCTGTTTACGAAATACATGCAATTTTTTTGGCTATTTTTCTGGGCTGGGTAATGTTGGTTCACCCTCAAGCAACGAGCACGGACCATGGTGGGCCCCGAACTTTAGATTGAGTGGCGGAGACGTAACCACTTCACCACCGCTCCCCTATTCACCACCGCTCCCCTTAAATTACGACCAAATAAATATATCCCAACAAAATCAAATCTGTGATTTTTATGCATCAGCTCAACTTGATTCATTTACTAGTACCGTTTAAATATATTAGCTTTTATGATTACTAGCAGCGAAGTTACCAGAATTGGTTGGGCTCCGTGTCATGACACGCAATTGTGCGTTTAGGGTGACAAGGAGTGATCTCCTCACAGAGAGAAATTTTGTCACATTGACTGGTCAATTGGTCCCATCTGAATCCAGCTTTGCAAGTGCATCGTAGAGATTGGTAAACCCAAGCCGCGTTGAAGGTTGAAAGGTCACTGCCTGAAAATTATTTGGTTGAATTGAATTTTCAGGTCTGAAATTTGAATTTGTTTTTGGTAGAATTTTGCGAACATTTGAAAATAATTTAACTGATCGACCTAAAAGAGCTAGTCGCGTTAGCACCGTTGATTTTTATATTAATTTTTTTATATTCCAGCTGCAGATTTTTATATTCCAGCTGCAGATACAAAAATTAGTGAATTAGAAAATATTGAATTGCTCTGATAGCATAAAGCTTGTATATATGTTAAATACTGGCCTACTTTGAGACTTGGTAATGTCTTGTTGAATGCAAATGCCAGTTTTTGTATTGTCAATCTCACTGCACTGTGTCATAGCGTCACATGGGTTGGGGCATGACCTCAATTCTCCACTGCTGCACTTCCAGAAGTGATGGATAGTCGAGGCGAGTTGGTGCAATCCTCTTGCTTCAAGTTGTCCATACATGTCCCTTAAGTATAGAATTCGTTTTTTTGTACTTCGGATTGTTTTTTGGTACAAGTTTTCATTTTTTTGGAATTGTAAATGATTCGCATCAATTACTTTGGCCGAGCGTATTCTTTCGACCAATAATGATTTATTTTTTTTAGTGTTTCGTAGTATTACGTATAAAGGTCAAATTGATTGTTTGAAATTACAGAACATTAATACTAAAAAACAAAATCAAAATGTCTTTTCATATTCAGATCTTCCGAATAAAGTCTAACTTCCCGATGAAGCCTGACCCATTAAACATTAAATCTGATCATGAGGAGAAGTACTTAGTTTTCTACTTGTTGTAATCCCAGTAGATGAAGCTTTTTTGCTCGTAAATCATGAATTTAGCAGCGACTGCTTGTGCGAAATGGTAAGCACATTGGCCTGGGTTGAAGTTGCGGAAACATTTGATATCCTCCTGGGAGTTTTCCGGGTAGCCATATATGGTCTTGATCAGGTCAGAGACTGAAACTGATTTGTGGTCATTGAACTTGATACTGCGTAACATCCAATCGGGAGGCCAGAACACATCGGCCGCTTGAGATTCTGAAAACTATATCTATCGAAGAAGAGAATTTTTTTCTAATTGCGGAGGATAAACTAATTCTGGGGAATAATTTAATTACGGAGTTCTAAACGGATACGACTTCCTAATAGTTTGCAGAGTACTATTTAGAAGTATGGTGCCGTCGTTTTTGCTGAGTCCTATTCAAAAACTCATTTAAAAGTGTAGCCACACCAGAACACTTGAAAGATACTTGAAGTATTTCAAGCTGGTAAAATAAATGGAAAACTTGTAAACGTTTCTTCTTTAGATTTGCCATTTAAGTTTTCTTTAAAATGAGTTATCAAAAATATCAATTCACTGGCGAAATTAAAAAAAAAACTTTTCTGTCTGATATTTATATGGGGCCTAACGAGGTTTTTTTCGGATCCATGCTTCTAAACGAGTACCGTTTTCAGTTTTAGACTTTCTGTTTTGCATTTTCTGAGTTTGCTTCAAATATCTAGGGTGTGGATTGTTTGCTTAGTTTTTACCTGACATCCACGTAATATTAATCAGAGGTAGCGGAGTTTTGTCTGCAGCCAGTGAATTTTCACTGTCCCTCTCCAAACTCGGCAACTTCATATACACTGACTGGAAAAGTAGAACCAGTAGAAGAGTTTCAGTTTTCATCGTCATATTTACCAATGTTTGTACATGTATTAAAGCTGGAATGTATTTTACTTAGTGTTTTTATTGATGAGTTAAATGGCTACAGAATTGGGTCACTGATGTTCGTGGTTTGAGTTTTTGGATGTGCTTTAATGAAAAAGTTATGCATTACATATATAAAGTCAATAACTAAATTGCACTTATTAACAGTTAAACCTTTTCGAAACTAACTCGTATAAATCAGTGCTCAATAACAGTGCTCGGTGTCTGTACATCTATTCTATTACGTTTTCTATTACTATTCTACATGCGTTCTCTAATTCTATTAGGCTATTTAAGAGCATAATGGCGCAGTTGCGAAGACAGTAATCTTCAGATCTGGAGGTCAGTGGTGCGAATCCATGTGTTCTTGTCTCTTTTTGGTTTTCCAGCTTTTGCTTATGTCACCTTTGTATTTTCGTGCATTTTAAACCTCTTTTTAGCATTTTTTTGTGCTTTTGAGGTGCAGTCTCATGACTAAGTCAGTTGGTATAACAAATTAGAACCAAGTATTTTAATTTTTAGAGGAGATCTGTCTTAATACGAAATCTGGTTACCCGCAAAAGAGAATAAATGGTACACTGATTTTCCCTATTTTTTGCATCAAGTGTTTTGGCATGTATCCCTTTCTGCGACATCAAGGTTGGCCATTAAAAGGACTCAAATATAATTGGGTTCCGGGACTTCAAATGACGGTTCTGTGACCATTTCAAGGCTCTAATATCTTGTTCTCATTTTAGATCTACGAATGACATCTATTGCTGTTAAGCCATTATTCGGATAAAGAGCTATTAACCTTAAAGGACGGTCAATAATTGTGATTCACGCGTGTATTTTTTGCCGTTTTCCTTGACAATCTCGCCGAGAACAGAAACAGGCTTGAAAAGAAAGGGTATTTATTTTGTCGTTCTTGTCGGCTGGGTGGAATGGGGGAGTACAAGGTGGTGGTGATGGGCAGTGGAGGAGTCGGCAAATCGGCACTTACGATCCAGTTTGTGCAGGGAACTTTCACAGAAAAATACGACCCAACAATAGAGGTAAATTTAGCTGGAATTTAGATAAAAAGTAATTATACACAATTATTTCGAATCTCTGAGACAGTTAATTGTTTTGATACGGTTGAAAACTTAGTACACGATTGTTCGGGGGGGGGGGGGGATCTAGGATTTTCTCGAGGGGGGCGGATTTTCATAAGTTTTTAACTTCAAGAGTTAGAACATACGACCCCCCCCCCCCTCTCCTGGTTGGAACGTCCGCCCTCCCCTAAATCCGCCCCTGCGATCTTTATTGACCTCGTTAAAATATAATATTGAACGAGATCAAGTTCGGACTCCCAAATGATAGATCTTTGGCTATTGTATTAGCGCTACAGTTCAACAGTGACATTTTTTCGCTTTCAGTGCTTTTTTTGCTTTTGTCGACTTAGTTGCTTTCTTGAATTTTCAAACATTTTTTTCGTTTTGCTCTAAGTTAGAGAAGTGCATTTTTGGCTTCATCTGAATCTGAATTGGCAACATAGTAAAGCCATAATTACTCAGAGTTTTTCTAATTCGAGGCTTTTTTTTGTAATTCCACTTTGAGTTGCTTTTTGCCTTTTTCTCGCTTGTGATTCCGAATCGCAGGTTTGCCTCTGTGTCAATATTTTTTTCGTTTGCATGGATTGTTTCTATTTTGAGTTTTCGGCATTTTTTGTTGCCTTGATCTTATGGTATCCTTTGGCCAAGTCACAGCGTATTGTTTTAATATATTAAACTATTTTCTTAAAAAATTCATATATTTCCCTTTCTGTTTTTGCAATTTTTATTGGCTACTAGTGTCGCATAAGATTTAGGAGTGTGGATTTTTTGGTTCCTTTTTTGTATTTCTTCATTTTTTTTTCATTTTTTTTATTTTAGTGTATTGCAATTAGTGGAATGGGGTTATGATCAATTGCTCCTGTAGAATAGGAAGATTGTTTGTGTGCAAAATTTTTGGCAAAGTGTTTCAATACGCTTGGGAAATTTTGGATCTCGATGTTTTGAGCAACATTTTTTCTTATCGGTTTGCTCTGTTGGTTATAAGAAAGAAATGAGTTGAGTTAATGTATCCCGATTCCTCCTTATGCTGTCTCTAATTGATTTTTGTAACAATTGTACTTTTTAATTCGTTAGCCTTTGATTTTTGGAACAAAATTTATATAACCTTTTCACTATTTGTTTGAGACACATTATCTTTTGATTTTCGACTTTTTTATCGGCTGTTTGCTTCGCTTCTGTGCTTAAACTTTTCAAATTGGCACTAAATGAAATGGAAGAAAATTGAAAAATTTCAAAGAAAAGAAGGTAAACGAAGTGAAGACAATTAAATGGACGTTTTTTTTTTTTCGTTTTTGGAAAAATCTGAAAATTTGTTCGCCCTAAATATTATTTTTTCGATGTCTAACTCTTCAAGTTCACTTCAGTCTTAAATTCAAATTCAGTAGACAAATGGAAAGCGATCATATTACAATTGCCGATAACAAAAGTCCATGTGGCGCGATACAATTTTACATTTTAACCTAATTTTTTCTAGCGGAATAGAAGCTTTGCCCATAAATCCAGTTTACTCAAACTGGGTAATTCAAGCAAAAATTTGTATTTAATATATATTTTCTTATGGGATCAAAGCTTTAATCCATTGTTCCAGTTTACTCAAGTATAAGTCTACTTAATGAGTCGAAAAAAAATACTGATTTCATCGACAACTTTTACAAATGCGGACCGTAAGTGTGATACTTAAAAGCCATTTTTTTTTGGTAGAAGTTGCAAATATTAGTATCTTCTCTTGATGCAACTTTTGTTTTTGCTGCTTATGCATCATTTGCAATTTGGTGGCATTCAGCTGATGCGTTTTTACGCTTGCGATTAGCAAGTGTTTTGAAATCGGTAAATAGATTTTGGTTCATATGAAATCAAAAATTAGACTGTATTATATCGCACTTGGCCTGGAGGTAATGCAGTTGCCTTTGAAAACTAATGTCAGGGGTTCCAGTCCCGGCCGGATCATGTTTTTTAGTGTCTGAAATTGATTTTTTTCCGGGAAAAATTGATTGGTCGGATTTTACTTTGTCTGCTTATTTTTTGGCGTCATAGTTGCCACCTCGCAATTTTTTTGCGCTGTAATCAGTTTTCATTGTAGTCTCTAGTGACGTTGATAAACTCCTGTAGTTTTTAAAATTACTATACATGGTTGGTAAAAGGATAGAAGTGGTGTTTAATAAAAACAGATCGGCTGGTACTATAAAAGCTTACAGTTTAAACTTTTTAATCGCAAAATTTTTTATGACGACAGTTTTCTTCATTTGTTTTCGGTTTAATTGGCCTCTAACCGCGTGTTGTTAGCTTAGTGAAAGCTTGGAGTATACTAAAAGCTTGCTTAATGCTAGTGGTTGTGTTTCGTCTGTTTTTCTGAGATAGGATTTTTCGTAAATCCAAAAAAAATTTTTTGTGAAAACCATTTCCTTTGATATTTTTGTTTTCGGATCAATTGGCGTCTAAGCACGTGTTGTGGCTTAGTGGGCACTCAAAATTGCTAAAAATTTTGCTCAATGCTAATTGTTGTGTTGTCGTCTGTTTTTTCTGAGATTGTATTTTTCCTACTTCCAAAAATATGAATTTTTTTATGACAACCACTTCTTTTGGTATTTTTGTTTTTGGATTAAATGGCGTCTAGCCACTTGTTGTTGGCGTGAAAAGAAGCTCAAAAATTACTAAAAGTTTACTTAAAGTTAGTTGTTGTGTTTCTCGTTTGTTTTTATGACAACCATTTCTTTTCCTCTTTTTGTTTTCGGATCAATTGATTTCTGACCTAACCAAGTGTTTTTGGCTTAGTGGACGGTCAAAAAATTTGTGTCGTTTTTTGTGAGATTGAGTTTTTCGTATTTCTAAATAAATTGAGGATTTTGTTATGACAATTTATTTTGGTATTTTTGTTTTCGGATCCATTGGCGTCTAAGCACGTGTTGTTGGCTTAGTGGACTCTCCAAAAATACTATAAGCTAGCGTAATGCTAGTAGTTGTTTTTTTGTCGGTTTTTCGATATTGAGTTTTTTTCGTATGACCAAAAATATAATTAATTTTTAATGACAACCATTTCTTTTGGCATTTTTGTTTTCGGATCGATTGGCGTGTAACCACGTGTTGACGTGTTGTTGGCTTAGTGGACACTCGGAAAATACTTAAAGCTTCTCTTATTGTAATAGTTGTCTTTCTCGTCTGTTTTTCTGTGATTGAACTTTTGGTATTTCAAGTTTTTTTTTCTACTTAGTTATTTCCATCTCACTGACCATTTAGTAGCTCGCAATGGTACTCTTTCCTTGTATCGCAAGTGATGCGAAGCTCTGCTTCTCGTGTAAAATTAATCAAATGAACCGAAAAAAGCCAGGTTTTTGTAGCACTGGTTTTTTGGAAGTTCCAGCTTTCTTCTAACATTCTGAACACATTAAAGTCCCAATGGTGGAGGTAATTAACTTGCAAGATTTGTTAACGACTTTTTTGAATATATATTTTTTGATTTGTCGATTCATCCATCTGCACATACGCATAAAGCATGCATTATTATGTTCGAGGTTCGTAAGCGTTATGAAGTTAGAACATACACTTTTTCGGGTAAAGAAAAGTCTAACATAATCTGAATGTTGGTAGCAAGGTTGTCAAATCGGATTCGGTTTAGTTTCCGTTTTTTTTTTTCGTTAGATGAGCTAAACATGTTTCTTACCGTTGTGAGTCTTTTGAGGTTTTTTGGCGCAACAGTTATCAACTGAACGTTTTTGTCTTTTGTCTCATTTTCTCTCAGCTGGTTTGTCATCATAAATTATTATCAGCGGTTTTCGATGTGAGGAAGTCCGCTGATAAAATATACCTCCAGTTATGGGCTTACTGTTTTTGCAGTGTTAATTCTAACAGTTTGTTGCAAAGCTTAGTCATCTCAAATGTTTTTTTGTTCTTTGCGCTCTTTTTTTTGTATTGTTTTTTGGATTGTGGTTTCGATTTGTGGGCTAAAAATTTTGTCTCAACAATGATTCAGATTTTGTTTTGCTTTTTTAGTTTGTTATCTGTTATTTTTTGATATCTTGAATGTTTTCTCCGGTGAGCTGTGCTAGTAGAGAAAGGCCAGTATCACTTCAATAGCTCTATCTGATGCATTTGTGCTTTACATAGGACTTCTACCGGAAGAACATGTATGTGGGGGAGGATCCTGTGACTCTTGAGATTCTGGACACCGCTGGCACGGAGCAGTTCGCTTCCATGCGGGACCTGTACATCCGCAATGGACAAGGCTTTATCCTAGTGTTCTCAATTATCAACCATCAGACATTCAGGGAAGTGCTCAACCTACATCAGCAGATTCTACGTGCAAAGGGCACTAATCAGGTCAGTATTCATAGCTGCATGATTGTATTTTCTTCCTAATTGCTCATCCTGTTATTTGCAAATAGTAGCGCAAGTCTGATAATAATTCCACGCAATGCATAGCGTAACCTGAACAATTATGTATTTGGAATAAGAATTGAGTGTACGACTTGATTTTTACGACTTGAAGTTTAGCAGGTTTATTTTGTGATAGTTTGTTCGAATAAGGAGGGTTTGTGTTGTGTTGCGTGCAGGTGCCAATTGTCTTGGTGGGCAACAAGCTAGACCTGGCGGAGCAGATGCGAGAAGTGCCGACAAACTATGCGGAGACAGTGGCCAAGGACTGGGGCCTGCCTTTTCTAGAGACGTCTGCCAAGTACAGCACCAATGTGGAAGAAGTGTTTAAGGAAGTGGTCAGACTCATGGTCGCAGCCTCACACACAAGCAGAGGACGCAGAAAACGGGGAGCAGGACAAAACAGTTCAAAGTCAAGCTCAAGCGGCTGCCAGTGCACGCTATTATGACGTCATTCAAAATGAAAGTTCAGGCCGAAGCATATAGTCTATTTTTGTCCTTTAGTTAATATGCTAAAAATATTGAAAAAAAAACAAGTAGATTTCAATCACTTCATCATTTACCAAATTTGGATGCAAATTTTTATAACGACTTTCTTAAGTCTCAAAATAATTTTTAATGCACATTTGGAAAAATATATAAAAAATCAGATTGGCTGAAAAAGTTGAAATCTACTTTAAATATCAAATATTTCTCCTAGTCCTATTTTTTGATGATGCGTAAATTTCTAGATTTAGCTATCGTTCAACGAAGCCTTATCTTGAAGTTGGCCTCACTACAATGCTAGTTCTGTCAACATGACTCGATAATCCAAAGTAGCTATCGATCCTTGTTTTCTATCTCTCATGTTGTAGTAGCTTTAATAAATCCAATGAAAAATTTTAATTCCCAGCAGTTAATCCTTTATCAGCGATTCCGTAGGCAGTAGCAAATCAAAATAGGAGAGATAAATTTTCAGCTAATTTTAAATGAAACCGTAGACCTTGATTTTATTTCAAGAATTGAACTTGCCCGCATAAATGCTTGCAAAATCGTGGCGTCGATTTTAGTCTAGTGCTTTTTGAGTTAAAAATGACTGTTTGTGTCTAATTGCGATCTACCAAATAGATTTGCATTTTCTAAAAGGATGACGAAATGGCTGGGGAGTGGTGGTAAAGTGGTTACGCCTCCGCCTCTCAATCTAAAGATCGGGTGATCGAGGCCCACCATGATTTGTGCTCGTTGCTTGAGGGTGGGGCTACATTACCCAGACCAGAAAATAACCAAAAAAATGCATGTAGATTGTAAGCAGGGGCACAGCAGTGGTTGTCCGTGATGAGCTGAACAGCTCGTATATTGTGGCCTTTTCCCTTGAGGATAAAAATGTTAAATAGGTTTCAGAGGCAGGCAATTTTTATAATGTGTCAGAATTTGCTACTGTTTCAAGTGGTCAGTGAAAACGTGTCTCTATCTCCTGTTACTCTATTCTATCCTTCGTCCATTGTTGTGTCTTGAACGAAGTGTAGTCGTTATATCTCTTGCCTTATTTTTCTTATTCCTTTCGTCCTAATATCTGTCTGACTAGGTGTCTGTCTACCATTAACACCTGCGCTATTTGTTGCTTCATTCGCATTGCAAAGTCCGCTCTGGAAACATGAAAACCATGAAAGATCCTATATTAATGGTACTACTACTTTTTGTGTCTGTCTTCCTCCCCTTCATAGCCTTCCAGGTTTTCTGGTAAATATATAAACAACAACTGATTTTCATCTGAAAGTGTCTTGGAAATTGGTAACATTTGATTTTGTTTGTCCTTCTTGTCCGTAAAAATTTCAACTGTAGCCATTAAACTGAAATATTCTTGGCAGGGGCTGATATAAATGGGCTTAAGTGGGTACTTTTGTCGTCAATTTTAAGGTTTTTACGGCAGAGAATTTCAAAGCTACCGGAAGTTTTCATGTTTCCCAGATTAAATGCACTCATTCGATAAAAAAAACTACCAAAATCAATGAAATTCAAAATCTAGCAAAGCAGTAGCTATTACAGTCTTCGTTGGTTAATTTGGTGCTATATATAACAATAGGTTCATTACTCATACGAGAAACATGTCTCAACTTTGCTTTTGTTTTCTAATATTTTCATCCGCTCTACTGAAGTATCATTCAAAATATCCAAAAAAAAACTTGAACTAACACGTTTTTTTGTTCAAATAATATGGCCTAATCGCTGCCCAGCAAAATTTGCTAGTTTTGTTCGAAATCTCTACCAAATTCATTTTTTCGCCATAAATGCACTAATTTCTTTGGCCGTGTAAATATTCACAACAGCCTCTAACTAACTTAAACTGTCTATCAAGGACTGCTAACGTGAAAATGACGGAAGATAAAGATAATAATGTGTTTGTTATCAATACTTTCTAAACAAATGTCTAATTTTCATCTCGATATTTATTAGTTTTGTACTTTGATTAGCGAAATATGCATTAATCTATTTTACTTTACAGTTCATCTTTTTGCTAATAAGAAAATGATTTAAAAATTTATAATTCAACTGCTGTTTTTCTTCAACTGTTGTTTGAGTTAGAAGACTTGCTGACATAGAGGTAGCATTTTTTGAGTTGTCATTGACGGATCAAAAATAACATGGTGGTGAGGAACGAAGGGAAAGATATTCGAGTTTGGCTGCTTTCTGTGTCTCGAGATCGATCACTATAAAAGCTCTTATATACAAGACATCAGTGTATGCATTTTTAATACAGATGACCCAGAAAAGTTTGACAATTTTGACCCAGAAAAGTTGCACCGAAAAATCAGCTTTGTCCAAAACATTTTGATCAACAGATTTAAGCGCCCTCTTCGCAGTTGCTAAATTTAAAAATCAAAGGACCTTGATATAATTTTCAAGGTAGTTTTGTCAAAATTGAATTATTTAAACTTCGGTTATCAGCTCAAGGTTTGGCGGCTTAGTTGCTACATCACAAATTTGACTTGTGCTGTAAGCGAGTATCATGCTAGTTGCAAGTGTTGTTCATTGTAGATTCAGGGAGAACTTGAAACTTCTAAAAGTTTTTAATTTACACTAGCAAGCAGTGTAGTGTCGTAGTACGAACCTTCTTTTTTTCTAACCTAACTCGCAAATAACAGTGCTCATTAAAAGTTCAGTTAATTGGTAGAATTTTAATGATAATCACGATCTGTAGCATTGGAAAATTGATAGCATGTGTTCTCTGCTTTATTAGTGGCTAGTGTTTGTAATTAATTAAGCGTCCGTGGCTGAGTGTCTAGTGCGTCAGTCTCATAATTTCTAGGTCGGAGATCGTAACCGAGTCGTAGCCGAATCTTTACTAATTGGAGGCTTACTTCTACTTTTTCCTAATGCACTTCATAGAACTGCTTTTTGTCGTTTTCTCGCTAGTGCTTGCGAAGCGAAGATTCGCCTTTGTGTCAATATTTTTTCCTTCTCAACTGGGGTCTGCTCAGAGATTGCCGGCTTCTGTTTGCGCTTGTACGTTTTTTTTTGTTGCTAAATTAAAATTCAAATGTCTTGCTTGGCATGTTTGCCTAGAGTTTCTTTTCTGACAAAACAGGAATTAACGTCTATGGGGTTTTTGTTTTGGATTTTTTGAGACGCTTTTGCAAAAAATTCAAGTTTTTCTCAAAAACTATCCTACTAAATCTCAGTTTTTGGTTTCAATAAACATAGCGGATTTGAACATCTCCCCTGCATAAGCGACTGCACCCAAATTTTATTTACCTATTAAGTTATGGCACATTTTTAAGCTATATTTTGTATTGCAATGGTGCGAAACTCTGTCTCTGTGTAAAAAAGTTTGTTGTATTGATTTTAATTGACTAGTCTTTTGACTTGATTTTTTGGCAAAACTTCCCTTGCACAAAGAAAGTAATATGAAATAAATTGTTTCTTTTTTATCAAATGCTAACTGAAATTTGTTCTTAAAAACTAGTAGTCCTGTATTTTTTTGCTTCGATCGGAACGCCGTTTGATTTATGAAAGAACAAAAGGTTCCTTTTTGCCCAGAATGGCAAATCAAAAGCTTGGCCATTCGAGTGTGTGTATATGGTTGGTATTTTTTGGCGTAAATCTAAGGTATCTATGGCCGAATTATATGCCATATTTGACCAAAACTTTGAAATTTTCTTGCTAAACATCTTATCATGCTTTCACAGTTAATGTCGACTCGTTCTCTTAATCTTAGTTTCCATTTAGGCAATGTAGATAGCGTAGTAAATGGTTTTCTTTCTTTCATGTAATATTTTCTTGTATATTACAAAAAGCTCGTTGATATTGAAGAGAAAATTTTTAAACCATATCAATGTCAAAGAAGAAAAATTTGGGCATTTACTGACAACCTTCATATAATTTTATGAAAACGTAATTTTTTATATTGGGGCTTTATACAAACACTTTCGTGCTTACCCTTAATCATTCTCCTGATTTTCCTCAGTCCTAATTCGTTTTACTGGCTCTCCTAATTTTGTAGATATGTGACTAAACTTGTGAAAGCTGTCCGAAGTTGACAGAAAACGTTTTTTTTTTGCAATATTTTTGTTCCGACTTTGAAAAAAAGAAAATTTTCCTAGTTTTGAGAAAACCCGGTTTGAAATATTTGATTTTTCATCTGTTTTCGAGCAAATAAAGCGATCGAGTAGCGTTCGCTGCAGGAAAATTACTAATTTAGGCTAAAAATGGTGATTTTATAAAAAGAAAATATAGTTCTGGAAACTTTTTAAGCGATTTTCTGGCAAAAAAGTCTCGAAAAATTTTGAAATTTTTAGTGCAATCTTTTTTTTGAAGCCATTTACACTCGTTTATGCCTAATTCACTAATTTTCTACGAGTTTGTATAACTCTATCATCAGACGACGTACAAGAAAAGACATTAACTTGAAAAAAAAGCTCAGAGAATGTGGCCGGAACATTCTGTGCTACTTGCGCAGCAACCGGCTATCCTTGTTTTAAATTTTTTTGAATTTGCTGTTTTTAGTTTTTTTAAAGTTCTGTGTGTATGATGTAATTTGAGTATTTTAGGTTGTTTTAACATTTCATTTCTTGTATTTTTTTGGTTTTTTAGAGTTTTTGAAAGGTCGTTGATTGCAATTTTCTAAAATTAATATTGGGGATTCTGTTTATCATAGTACTTTCAGTACTTCTGGTTTACTCTATTACACATTAAGCTCAAGGTTTTCATTAAATTGTGTTTCAAGCTACCAAGTTAAACTTATTTACGTGTTTTCATTCAACTCTACGGATTATTTCAACACTTGATTATTGCTATATACACTTGCGAAGCGAATGTTTTAGTACGAACATTCTTTTTTTCCAACCTAAGTCGCAAATAAAAGTGCTCTTTTTGGTGGCATTTTTGAATCGGTAGGCTGCGGTAGCAGTGTATTGTCATGTGCTTTTACATTGGATTAGTAAAAAGTTAACACAGTAGATGCATTTTTAACTCATTAAATGAACCGAAAAAATTAATTGTTTCAAACAGCAGTACAATGACAAAAAAGCTGGATTTCAAAAAAAGCTCAATTTCATGCCCCTTTTGAGGTA